GGTCACACTGCAATCTCTTCTCCTCCATTCTCCTCTTGGGATCTTGGGCACGCACGCACACTCGCCTGGCGTGAGATTTAAGCCACTGTGTCTGGGACACGAACCGTGGTCGACTACGTGGGAGTCCAGCGACATAGCCATTATGCTTACTGCTGGTTCCCTCTTTATAACTCTTGAAGTGAAACTCCCCCAGATTAGTGTGTAGGCACAGCCCTTATATCAGATCAATTCCTTTTTTAAAATTAAAATTATTTTATTTAACCATTTATTTATTTATTCTAATTTGACTACAGGAGAGAGAGTGAGAGAGAAATTGAGAAAGCAAGCCGCCAGGTCTGGGACTCGAACCGAGGTCGGCCGTGTGGGAGTCCAGTGCCTTTAACCACCATGCCACCTGCCAGCCCCCACATCAATTCCTAATATACATTCATTAGTGGGAAACTATAAACCTTATGTGGCTGTGGAGGGAAGTGGCCTGTGCTCATTGTAAGGATTACTTGTTGCACCTTTATGGTGGTCGTTCCATATTCATCAGTGGCAGTCAAAGGTCCTTCACATTTACTGGGGTTGCCATAAACAAGTATGTGTTCTGCTTCTGTGTCTACTAAGGCAAGAACTCTCTGTACATTTTTTGGTGGCCAGTGTTCCACATGTGGCTTCTGATCCATGGAGGAGTCCACATATCCCCTGGGACTTGGCCTGCTCCCTATGCTAAGGGCCATGTCCAACAGAGTAAATCCATTTTTTCAGTAGGGGCAGCTCTGGGGGTGGTATATTCCTTTCTGCCCCAGCAGATGGAGCTATTATGCAACACATCCTGCAAATGCAGTGGAGGAGTGGTCTCCTGATTCCTGGGTGTCCACCTTAGGTCTTCACCTCTGTTTCTTGTCAGGCAGGAGTTAGAATCTCTTTTCCTTGGGTAGCTGCCTCCATAGGTCCATCAAACCCAATTGAGGCTAGTTGTCTATTTTAGATGGATCCACTCTGGGTTTTATTAAACCTACCCACATCTGTTTGTAAGTGATCTTAGTGGGCCCTGCACCACCACTACCTCTTTTTATTTTTTTTAACTTTATTTTATTTTTAAAGAGTTATTTTATTTGATTCTATTTATATTCGACGAACTAGGGACAGAGAGAGAAAAGAGAGAGAGAAAGAAGGCGTCAGGTCCAGGACTCAAACCATGGTTGGCCATGTGGGAGTCCAGCACCCTTAACCACCACACCACCCATCAGCCCCACATAGCTACCTCTTTTCTGTGGCTCATTAGTTTTGTCCTTTTCCTCCAAGACTCTCTCTTTGTTGTACAGATTCAGTTTCCCCTAGGTCCACCACTGGGGTGTGCACAGAGATAAATAAGGGTACAGTAATGGGGAAGAGAGCAGACTGCAAGACACCAAGGTGAATTTCATTTTGTCTGGCCTCTTGAAGAGACTAGTGTATATAGTACTTATGCATTCCTGGCTCACAGGTAAATTCCTGAAGGTCCTCCATGGTACTCCATTTGGGGTATAAGGAGAGTAAGTCCCCTTTATTGAGTCAGATGAGATAATTAGCCACTGTCAACCATGTTAGTAAGGAGCCATTTTGTCTGCTGTAGCAACGCCATGAATGCACTGGCTGAGTGATAGGCAATTGGTTGTAGAAGACATTTTTCACAATTCTTCCCTAGAAAGGAGAATGACATCTGCCCTGGCATCCTACAAATAAAGCAGCCACCCTCCCATGTTCCTTTGCCCTTTTGTCTAAATTTGGCAGCTAGTTCTACAAGTTCTGCCAATGTATAGAGTCGAGATGTAGTATGTAGCAGTCTCTGGGGCTGTGAGAGATCGTGTGGACCTGTTCCTGCCAGACATGACTGAAGGGTTTTAATTTTCTCCAGTACAAGTGTCCTCACTTGTAGTTGAGCAGAGGGCTCTCCCTCCCTTCAATTATCTCAACAAGGTCACAGTCAGAGTCTCCTAGGAAGATTCAGAATCCTCAATGGGATCCCCCTCTTTATTTATTTTTTTAAAGAATCATTTATTTAATTATTTATTTATTCATTTATTTATTATTTTTTTTATCTTTTTTTTGTGGGGGGAGAGGTTTTCTTTTTTGTTTGGTTTTGTTTTTTGCTATAGGGCGCGTGCGCTCGCCAGACAGACAGAGAGAGACAGAGAGACAGAAAGCGAGAAATCACCCCCCAGGGGGGATGGCCATGCCGCAGTCCCTTCTCCTCCATTCTCTT